TTCAATACTCACTAGATACAATATTCAACATTAGTCTAACTTTTTAAATACACAGTCAAAACATTTTCATCATTGGTGCTTGATTGGTGGTTAAATTTGATTGAGTTATACTTTTTCATGGGTTTTTATGCTTTTGTGATATAGTAACTATAAAATTAGGTTTATATATGATATTGAAGTTGCATTTTGAATTATTACATTTAAAAAATTTCAATTGATTGCTATTTTTTTAATTAGCGCATACACAAACACCCACAGACACAAACATTCATACACATTAGGGGTGCAACTCGGGCAGGTTGGTCAATCAACTCTAGGTATATAATATTTAACCCTAACCCTACCTCGGGTTGGAAAACTTAACCCGAGCACTGCTCGAGTTTAATTCGGGCGGGCTCGGGTTGAATTCAAGTTGATGATTTTGGGCTGATTTCGGGTTACTTTACGAGTTCAATTCAGGTAGAGCCCAAAATAGGCTTGTTGTTCTAAACCTAATACATATATTACATAATATTCACCTAAATTAACAACCAATAACTTCTACCAAGTTTTTAACGAGAGAGACAGATAACGATGGAACAAAAATGAAAAACCTAGTGATAATGCTTTATATATATAATTTTTTTTTTTTAATTTTTCGAGTTCGGGTTGAACTCGAGCTCACAAGACCTTAACCCGAGCCCAACCCAAATTGAATTCGAGTTAGGATTTTTTGATCCAAGCCCAACCCAAGTATTAAAAACTCTTGTCCAAGCCCTAATTTTTTCGAGTTGGGCTCGGGTTGAAATCTGGTTGCCCAACCTAAGTTGCACCCCTAATACACATTGACTCGAAAGATTTTCATCAAATAGCATCATTTACATGTACTTACATTAACCCATTAATGTAGCACTCACGCAGTCCACACAACATTGTTCTACCAATAACAAAGAACAATGGAGAGAACACACCAAACCTTGTTCTACCAATAACACAAATTTATCTTTTCTTCTCATTATATGAAACAACCACCGGTATATACAGTATAAATTGAAACTATTAGACTGATTTACACTGACACATATTAGATGCAATCAATCAGATTTGTAAGTTCATTCATCTCCACCAAGCAATGAGCTTTCATTGAAGCCTTTATCTTTTATCCTACTTGCCCCTCATATTTTTTTCCCTCTCCATGTACATTAGTCATTGGTTTTTTTTTCCAATAACATACATTGTTGTTAGTAGGTTTACAGAATAATACATTCATTTTTTTTGCATGTATGCAAAGTATGTGTTTGTAGTTTAGTGGTTAAACACAGTAGAGTTCAATAACACGCAATTATAATAGCACGTCTTAGGGTGATATTAGCTTTTTCTTTTTTCTTTTATAAATTGTATTAATGTTTTTTGCTCACTAGTTACATTTGTCATGAGACCTCTAACATTTTATAAACCCACAACATTTGGCAGGTCATCAAGTTTGTACACAATCAGTTGAACTATTAAAATGTAAGTATCGTTGCATCGTAATTTTTTTAAAAAATTCATTTATATTTTATTGTGTTAACATCTGTAAATGCATGTTACAGGGCGAAGAAAAGGGTAGGAAAAGCACAAGAAAAGCCAGAGCTTATAAAACGCCAAAAAACTAAAAAGGTTACTGACAATCTTAAACTTTCAACTATTTCAATATTTTTTTTTTCACTAACTTAAACTTGTAAAACATTTTTTAGGATGTTCTTCGAACTCGATGCTCGCCTTCAATATTGGCTAAAACAATTGAAGCATTTAGTGATAGTCAAAAGGAAGGTGTTAAGGAAATGGGATTGGGGGGTTTATTAAGTCTGAAAATCCATTGGTTCAAAAGGGGTTTATGTAAATGGATATTGAGCAGATTTGACCCCGATACACATAGTCTGAACGTGTACAACCAATCTTACATTTTTACTCCAGTGGATGTTGAGTGGATCTTGGGGTTACATTATGGAGCGGCTAAATTACAGACGACTGGATCTCCAGAATTAATCGAGGATCTTAAAAAATCAATTTTTGATGGTAATAATGAGTTGTTGTTGCATGACATAGGGTCTAGGCTAGAGAAATTAAAAGAAGATTCTGACGAATTTCGGTGTTTATTTGTTCTATTTGCTGTGGGGAGATTTATGTGCCCCACAATGAAGGCTACAGTCAATGCCTCCCTCCTCCACATGCTTTTGGACGTCTCATCTTTAGGGGGTGGGAATTGGGCAAAATTTGTGTTTGACTCCATCATTGAGGGGGTACAACATTACAAGTCCAGACAACAAGTTTATGTCAATGGTTGCATTTTTGTCCTCATGGTAACATATTTATATTTGGTTAATGTTGGTTACCAAAGTCTTTTATGCACTTTTATTTGTATTAATCGTATGTTGTGTGTCATAGATTTTTTACCTTGAGTGTGCGACACCAATAGGGGAGACTATGGTCCCATTGGTGTCTCGACCAACCCCACGCATTGGATCATGGGGTGATGAAGATATAAGAAATCGCCTAAATATGTTAGGAGGTTTCAAAAATGACAAGGTAAATCAGTGTTATTGCCGCACAACAATATAATTTTTTGTAAGTTTATTTATGAAATGGAACTATATGTTACTTATCACATACGATATTTGGCATGCTTGAATTAGATTAAAGTCGCATTTGCTGAGTTGCGCTCTGATCCACCAGAAGTCAATGAAGCCAGCAGAGGTCCAGCGCATTTTCGTCAACAAATAGGTGTATTATTCAGCAACTACCCTTAACAACTGTATTTCCAATGGTATTTTTTCAGTTAAACAAACATTTGTCATTTGCTTAGAAAATTGAAGCAAGGCTTACGAGATTAGAGGTGGATCAGGTCTCCATCAAGCAAGCCATGCGGGAGGAGTCGGAGAAAGTGTATAAGGAGCTTAACGCAATGAAGAATTTTATACAAGAGATTTTCGACCGATTGGAAAAATTTTGCGAAAAGTCGAAAGAAAAAGTCCTCTTAGGTGATAGTGGAGAGGCGAGTGTACCGGGAGTTTCCTCCATCTACTATTTCTGGAATTATCTATTGTTTTATACACTTTTAATTTTAATATTAAAATTTTGTACGCATAATATTGGCAGGACGAAGATGATGTTTACTCTTATCCTCCTACTCCTCAAGGTGGGTACCCTCACATTGCAGCACTTCAAGATTTCCACAAGCAAAATTTGTGGGTGTATATACTGAACACAAAGTTGCCTCCAACGTAAGTGAATTGCAAAATTTGTCAAAATAAGTATATATGTCATAATTTGTACATGACACATGTGAATTATGATGTGATTTTAATAAGCAGGGAGGATTTGGTGTGGTTCAATGAAAACCACTATTTTCTCAAGCGAGCAGATTTACAATCCTTGGGTGAAAAAGAATAGGTGCGCGATTCTGTAAGTACATTTCCTCTCATGCCCTTGTTGTCTTCAATTATTATGCGGGATTTAAAGCATTCACTAAATGACACTTCTTGTTCACTTAACAGGTAATAAGTGCACTGCCTTTGATTATGTCAGATGATGAAAAGCTCGACAACATCACAAAAAAGGAGTGATGGTACTTGCCGACATGGTTCTCGGTAAAGTATTCTAACTCATCTGTTTTGTGCACTGCTTGTATAGACAAAGCATCTACATTTGCTTATGATTTCTATGTTATGATTGTTTTTTGTAGCAACAAGCTGTTGGTATGGAGTTGTCAAAGAATGGTCTCTTGGGTGATAAATTTAGATCCAACTATGGCCATTTGATTCGCGACATTAATAACTGTGATAAGGTTTGACGTTGCTACTTATATTATATTCGTTATCCTTATTAATAAATGGATGTTTGTTGTGTCTCAATGATCATTGTTTTGTATGTTTTATATTGTAGATATATGTACCAATGAATGATGGGGACATTCATTGGTACTTAATGGTATTAGATGTACATAATAAGGAGGTCATTATTCTTGACACATTGCGTGATGGCCGCACAAAACATAAACGATTTACACAGGCTTCGAAAACGGTAAAGTTTATGTACTCCATTTAATTTTTTGTGAAAGGTGTAATCCCAATATTTATCACGTAATTTGTACTCGTGCACAGGTGAATGTACTACATCGTCTAATTGCTGTGTTATCGAAAGAGGTCACCCAAATCGACATATGACCTATCACTAGACCAAGATGGGTGCCGATACAAAGCAATGGTTACGATTGTGGAGTGTACATCATCGAGATGATGCGGGCACCACATTTGGGTCAAAAATTCCCCATAAAAGTATATAGTACACAGAACATTATAGTACCTCATATAGTGTTGTTTTAGAACCGTTATAGAATGTGGTTTTCTAATATGTCAATGCACATGTTTTCTTCCTTTTGTAGGAACCTAGTATTGAAACACGAATGGAGTTGGCTATCAATCTTGTAACACACCTTGCCAACAAAAATAGGGACAAGACAATGTTTAGAGCATCATTATTATGATGATATTGGGGGTGTGCCTTCTAGTCCGTGTTATCTTATTATCAATTTTTTTGGTCAATCTAATGTATGCCAGTGATTATTGCAGATGGAGTTACACTTATCCCTTCACGAACAAACTTGTCCCTATTGGATTTGGGTGGCTTACACTGATCAGACTTTCACCATTGAGCAGCGTCTCTCCCTCCCTATCTCTCCCCCTCTTTTTGCTCCAATCACAAACACACACACACACACACATCTATATTTTATTGGTTTACTTAGCTCATCTTTTTGAATTTTATGTTGTGGCACTAGAAATCTGCACGACTGCACCTCATTTGTTTTTAAGAAAAAATGGACTAGAATTAAATTTTCTTTTAGTTTCTTAAACTGATGCCTTCGAACAATTTTGTTGCTCTAGACTCATACTGTGGAGGAAGAGAAACATATGGATTCAAATACAGATGCAAAAACATAGACATCGCTGGAATTGCAACTAGTTAAGAGAAAGGACAATATGGTGCTACGGAAGCTTCTCGTGAGTTAACCTTCAAGTACAAGGACTTGTTTGATGTAAATGCTTATTTTGCCCCCATTAAATACATGTTATATTGATGTTGTAGTGGGGTCCAAGATATTTTGATTCCCCAGAAAGCAGTTGGGGGATGTGCTACAATTGTGATGAAGATGATCACACAGCAGCAAACTGTACTATGAGAAAACGGAAGAAACCATGCTATATATGTGGTGGTTTTGAGCACAATGCAAAGCGCTGCAAGGTTTAAAATATATTCTTTGCGAAATTATTTTGTTTTACTCTCACATTTTCATGTAGTTATCAAAACTCAAGCATTTGCCCTTTCTGCATGATTCTTCTTTGTTTAATTCATATTAAATAATTGTTGTGAATGAATTTTCTCTTTCTTATTATATATATAATGATATTACAATTTGGAGAGAAAATCTTACTGGGAATTTTGAATTCCCTTACATTTCTTTACTTATCATATAAGTCAAGTGGTCCATAATATCGCTCCAAGACACACACTTGTTAGGATGAATCTTTTGAGCTTATAAGCCATTAAACTCTGATGAAGTTAGATTTTCTATAGCTCAAACTTTGGCTTTTGAGTTGAAAATTGGAAAATACTGTTGAGATATAAATATTCAAATTACACTTTGGGGTAAGGGGAATGTTTTAAGTGTGTCATAAAATTGACAAACACTAACATTTCACATGTTCTCTCCTTAAAGGTTGAAATAAATCATTGGTAAAGAAGATTTATTACTTTCTGCCATTTACCATTACAGATTTCATTCGCATTTCCTCTTTGTTTTTTTCCTGTTGTTTGGGTCTTGCAGCAGTATAGACTACATATCTACAATCGAAAAGGTTGTCTTACTAAAGTTTGTCCAGAGAAAGATGCAGCAAATGATCAAAGTTTAGATATCTGTTTAAGATGTGGCGATTCAGGACACAATATGTTCTCATGCAGCAATGAGTACAGTTTTGATGATCTCAGGGTATTAAATTTTGCATATTCTTTTCTTTTTTAAATGCAGCACCTTTTCATGCCACCAATGGGATAAAATGGTCCAGTCCCATTATAGCAAAATGAATTTGGATTCCGCTTTTGTGATTATTGTGTGTTTCCATCTTGCAGTGGACGGTGGAGGAGAGTTTACTAGAAATAATGTTGTTAATACTTGTGTATCTTGAAGGATTAAAGCCAAATATGGCTATGTTTTGTTTGTTATTCTTGAATTCTTTGATTCTTGTGAGCAGTGATGCTCTTTGTTTCTTGTAATTTTTTGATTCATATCTCTTCCCAAAAATTTGCAAGCTCTTCTTCTCCACTTTTGCATTTTCAATAAAATTTGACAAATATATTTACTTCTTGGAGTAATGTTACGATTTGTGGGTATTGTCTTTTTGAGTTGGGGTAAGGATATCATTTTTTTTTGGGTAAGACTACCACTTTTCAATGTTCGCTATCAATTTTTCTTTTTCTGGAGTAATGTTACCTGATTTTTTGGTAGTGCAGAATGGTAGGAAAATTGAAATAGAGTTGGGGTAAATACACCATTTTTTTTTTTGGCTAAGAATTCCATTTTTTTTATTTTCTTTTTTGGTAAGGATTCCTTTTTTTTAGCTGCAGTTGCTTGCCCTTCTTTGTCAACACTTTCTGAAGGTGGATGGAAAATGTATTTTAATCGATGGAAAATAGGGCAAGGGGTTGTGTAATAATTCTCGCATCGTGTTTTATTGAAATAGCACTGGTCAATAAAACACTGGTACACCATATAGCCATGAAATCCGACAACTTGTTATTACTATGTGAACATATTAATGTGAATGAAGTCATATTATGGAAAAAAAAAATAAAAGAACAATTTATCATAAAACACATTACATACCTGCAACAAGTATATCTCACCAACAACAAACTTTCACCTCTTTATGTTATATATAATAGGCCCTATCATGTTAACTACTTGTCAAAGTCTTTGGGTTCCATTACAAGGGGAATGGTTGGTAAGAATGATGGGTAAGAATGGTTAGTGAGAATGATTTGTTGGCCACTGTAGCCTTATTTAAGGAATGACTCCACATTATTCATATTCCTGTTCATCTTCTCATCCTTCTCATCAATGTACTTCTATGTTCTAACCTCGACTCTTTTTGCTTTGATTTTTTTCCTAAAAATGATAAGACAAAGGATGACAAAACGCCAAGGATCCATAAAAAAAATGGCCTACACAATATCTACATATTTTCGCACATCAAAATAGTGGAAATCACCAAAATCACCCAACCTCGATCAGCAAAACACAGGCAAACAAAAAAAAAATAATTCGGCAAAATACAACCACCACCCCATAGCTAGCAAACAGATTCAGACAAAAAATAATTGATAATTGATTCCAATGTAGCTATTTCTGTTTGTACAAAAAATTAGTATGTGCCACTAAATCAAGGCCATAAACACTTCTGTATACCAAAAGAAAAGAATATGTCACACATATCATCTCCGATTTTTACCACAATTCTTTTGTTGGTATTGTTGTGCCTTGCTTATGATCTTGTTTCTTGATTCGTTGTACATGTGAGTAATAACTTTGAATGCTAAATCCTTCCGCATTGTATTGGATTCATCCTAAAAACAATAACCAATAACCATAGTTAAATTGACAAATGGTACATATAAAACAATAACCAACTGTTCTTCTTCATCCTAATTGCATTCACCTCATATTTA